TTAGGGCTCTTCTCAATTAAAGACCCTTACAATGGTGTTACTGTTAAGTCTGACCCCCCCCCCTCATACACAGCGACACCCCCTCATACATGCAAATCAAAAAGTCAGGAAAGCTGAGACAAATCAACAATAGAAGTGCACCTCGTCTCCACAAAAACAAAAGATATTGTATTTTTAGCCACAGAGCTGCTAGCTAATCTGTGCCGATCACGCTGTCAGGTTAGAGCCGGTTATTAGACAGGCTGCTGTCACGGACCTGATACTTAACTCTGACTGGGACTACCATCAGAAACACTCCATGTGGTGCAAGCATTGTGCCCTGACAACAAAACAGAGTCTTGTTCAATGAGGCAAATTAAATGTAAAAAATATGTGCCCTGTGGTTGGGAAATTCTTAAACCTGTCATAAAATGAAAATGTCTATCTTTATCAAAAAGCTAGAAGTGCCCAGTAAATGTATAATGAATGTTTGGGCAATTGCATCACATGACAGGATAGAGGTGATTATTTAGGAGGGATTCCCAGTAGTTTTCTTTCTGTTTAACATTTTTGTTTTACTTTTATGTATGCACCAAAACACCAAGTCAAATTCCTCGTACGTGTTAACCGACCTGGTAATAAACCTGTTTCTGATTCTGATTCAGTACAATCGCTTTGTTTTTACAAGCTTATTCAACCATTTGAAATAGAATATATCCATTTTAGTCTCAGTGGGGTTTTGATATAGGAAAGAGAGATTTGATATAGGCTAAATCCAACAAATACTATGTCAGGGAGCATTCTGTCTGTGAAAGATGTCTCTATTTGCCCTTTTTTCAAGCTTTAAATAACCACTAGCTTTTAGTAGTTTCTGCATTTTTTTAAAGGTGACATGTCATGCTTTTCCGGTTATCACCCGTCCGCTTGTGTGTTATGAAGGTTTTTCTGCATGTAAACGGTGTGCAGAGTCAAAACCCTCAAAGTACACCCTGTAGCGAGTAAAACTCTAAAACAGAAAATACCTCCCCAAAACGCCTCGTTGGTGAAACTTCATCGTCATTTGATTCTTCCGGGTACGGGTCCACTTAGTTCCTGGTACGTGCTTTCGTAAGCACGTACCCGGAACTAAATGGGCCAATCCGTGGAGCCGTTACGTTACGTCCGCGGAGCCGTTACGTTAAGCCCCGGCTGATTGGTCCAAATTGACCAATCCACACACACACTCAATGCAGGCAGCCCTGCTGATTTCTGCTCCCTGCTGCAGGCTGATAACAAATAGAGAAGGCAAATCCGGATCCTTTTATGGACTCAGGGTCTTATGAGTCAGTCATTGAAGAGATCCGGATCATACGAGTCCTTTGAGTCATATGAGTCAGCATCACCAAGACAGTAGAAATCCTACCGGTGAAACCGAAAAGTTGTTGCATTTCACGAGCATTTTAACTGACGTTATATTAACTTCTGCTACACAGTGCCTTTTGCTTTAATAAAAAAAGTTGATCACACATTTTTTTTTTGTGATTTGGCGAATCTGAGTCTGCTGTTGACTCGTGCATGACGACGAGTCTGCTGGATCTCTGGATCTGCTGCTATTCGGTTACGGCTCTGAGTCCCCACGAGTCTGCAGGAAGTTTCACTGATCCGCGTCCCCTCCCCTGAGCCAAACGATAACTTCTGGAAGCTATCCTACTTGCTAAAGGGTAGGCAGATGGACTGGGGTACGTTGTAATGTTATTTTACATGTTATAAAGAGAGTAGCGAGTGACGCAATTGATAGTTTTAATTTGTAAGTCACACCAGGTGTAGGACTCAAAGGACTCGGGTTGATGGAGAGGGTTAATGATCCGGATGAATCAGGACTCGCCCATCTCTAATAACAGACAGTTGGGATCGCGCAAAATTCTCTCTGCAGACCCATTCTCACAGCGTTTATCAACCTATAAACCTTTTTCTTACTCAATATCAAGCCACACTTATGTTTTTATTTCGGCTGTGACTTTGTGTGTGTTCAGGTTGAGTTTGGCTGTGTTTGGCTGTGTATCGTTAAACAAGGAAATCA